CTGTCCATCTGACGTGCAGGATACGCTCCATGTGGCGCTCAACCAGGGTTTGTTTTTGCACACACACATGCACACGCGCATACACGCACCTCTCCGGACTTTGCAACGCCAGCAGTGACTCACGCTTCACATGTTCCTAGAATTCCACAGAGCTTAAGGCGGGCGTGTGCAGGTCTGCTGAAGACACCGCGTGGTTTGAATCAGAGAGCACGCTCCCACCCGCCCTGTGGGCCCTGCAGACACAAGCCAGCCTCTGGGAAGCCGGCCTCTCCCTGCGCTCATCGCGAGCCATGCGAGCCAAGTGTAGGCCTGCTCGTCCTCCGCCTCTCCCTCAGAAAGAGACTTGTTTGTGGTCAGTCGGATCCCAAGTGCTTCATCCCTGGGCCCGTCCCTGCGTCTCCAAGACGCTCCTGTTGCAGAGAAATGACAAGCCTTCCGTGTCTCGGGTCCCTTGGCGTGGCTCAGTCACGGTCATGGGACAGAAGGAAGGAAGCTGCCGGCCAAGACGAGAGTGTGATGACCCCAATCGCCTCTGTCCACGGGAGGACTGCGAAGCCCAAGACTTCACGTTAGAAACCAGGTTCTGAAGAAAGCTTGATTTCTCTAGTGCAGGCGTCCTCAAACTGCGGCCCCGGGCCACATGCGGCCCGCAGGATGTTTTTGCCCCATTTGTATTTTACTTCAAAATAAGATGTGTGCAGTGTGCATAGGAATTTGTTCATAGCTTTTTTAAAAAACTATAGTCCGGCCCTCCAACGGGTCTGAGGGACAGTGAACTGGCCCCCTGTTTAAAAAGTTTGAGGGCCCTGCTCTAGTGGCTCGTGACGATATTAACCACAAGCTGCTGGGAGACGGGAAGGAGCCTGGGGCATACATGGCTAAGGGCGTCATGATGACGCCAGCGTGTGGCACAGTCAACGGAAAGCTTGGGGACTTGCTGCCCCAAGGCCACCACCTGAAAAAGCGCAGGGCGGCGGTTCTCAACCTGTGGGTCACGACCCCTTTGGGGGTGGAATGACCCTTTCGCCCGATTCATCACAGTAGCAAAATGACAGTGATGAAGTAGCAATGAAAATGTTATGGGGAAAAAAATAATAATGTTATGGTTCGGGGGTCGCCACCACATGAGGAACTGTCTGAAAGGGTGGCGGCGTGAGGAAGGTCGAGAACCACTGGCCTAGGGAATGCAGCTGTTCTGTGCCTCGGGGCTGGGGGGTCACTACTGGGCAGCAACCGGTTCGAGTTTTCTGGGAGCTTGAGGACAGAGTAGGAGAAGGAGCCCCCCACTGTCACTGCGCAGGCTGGGGACATGGAGGTAGGAGGAGGACTCTGTGCAGTCAGGAGACGGGAGCTTCTTTTCCAAAGACCCTCCTCTCCTTGTGCAGCTCACAGCCCCCAGGAGGCCAGAGCTGGGGGACTTGACAGTGAGATTGCACTTGGTCTCCTGGGCTGGGGGCTGGGGAGGTGAGATTTTAGACTCTCTGTCCTGTGCTCTCTGACCAAGGTCTCTTTATAAGGAGGCAAGCGACAGAAGATAACATGCATAAGACAGGGTAGGAAATCCATATCTAAAGGCTCACCAAGGCTGGCCGTGTTTGGCCTTGGCTGAAAGCAACGCTTCTCTGTGGCTGATTTATATTTAGCTCCCTTCTGTTCTTTACAGTCGGCAGAGCCAGCCCCAGCAACACTCCGTTTGAAGTCTCAGAAGGCCACAAGGAGAAGTGAAAAAGCACAGGATTTAAAGCAAGGAGAACCCGGCTCAAGCCGGCCACTCATGGGCCCGCGTGCCCTTGGGCAAGGTCTTTTATCCCCTCTGAGCTTCAGTCCTTTTATCTGTAAAATGGGGATAAAAATATCTAGCTCTTATCAGGAGATCTTTATAAAGTCTAAGGTTTTATGTAAATGTTCCTTCGTATTTTGAACTCATGGAGCAAGGGCAAGAAGCCCCTCAGGTGGCAGGCTGTATAAAAAAGAGAGTTGTTCGCCAAAGTGTCAAGGTGCGCAGCATGCTCTCTGCTGGGAGGTCGGTTCTGGGGTCTTCCATCTGCTGTCTCAGCCCCAGCTTACAGAGAGGTAGCAGAGAAAGGAGGTACCTGGCTAGTGTGCTAGCAAATGCAGGAGCCAGAGCTCTCTCCGGCCTCCTGGCAGGGGTCAGGCACCCAGTCTGCCTGGAACATTCCCGCCCCCCTCCCCAGTGTGCTTCCCACATGGTCTTCCATCCCGCCAGCACAGTCTGGGTGGATGAAATGTGGGCAGATAATGTGGGGAAGATGAATGAGAAATATTTGTGAAATCATTTGAACAACCCTTCAAAAGAAAAGACCCACACTGGTACCAGGGATTTCTGTTGAGATCATTGGAATTTGAAATACAAT